GGGGCCTTAATGATTGAAATAGGGTTTGGAGGGTTCCTTACTATAACTATAGCGTCATACATACCAAAACCTTATTCTAATTATTAAGGCCCCTATATTAGATGGACTTGTTTGTGGGGGCATCCCACCAACCCGATAAAAAGATCACGGCCTTGTCGCAGGAAGCCATGAGAACAAGTCTTCCTGATCACTTAGACCCTGCAACTCTAATCCCCTAAGCCCCACACCCCACCCTCAAATCCAATAAGCCCTACCTGTCATTAACCCGAACAGACCTACATTTTCAGGTTCCGTCTTTCGAAATCCTGTGTACTGCCTTCAACGAAGCAGGTAAGCCCAAAACCCCAAACTCCTAAACCCTAAACCCTAACAGCCCTAAACCCTAAACCCTAAAAGTTTTAAACCCTAAACCCTAACAGCTCTATACCCTAAACCCTAATTTTCTAAACCCTAAACCCTAAAAGCTCTAAACCCTAAGCCCTAAACCCTAAAAGCTCTAAACCCAAAGCCCTAAAGGCTCTAAAGCCCGTCGCCTTCGACGGCGGCCCTCCTGTGCGAGAAATGCTCGTGACTTGGGCGCCCTCGGCCACGAGTCCTGGATGGAGCGTAGGGTTTAGGGTTTAGGGTTTAGGGTTTAGGGTTTAGGGTTTAGGGTTTAGGGTTTAGGGTTTAGGGTTTAGAGTCTAGAGCTGAACATGTTGAAAAATGTCTCAGGGGTCTATTTAGTCTGGAGGGTTTAGGGTCTCTACGCACGCGTCCAGACAAGCCAAACACTCTTTAGACACGTTTCTGTACATGCCTAGATATTTTACCTCTACCTGTATACATACTTACCGATACATCAACATTCATCTTACTCATGTTCATGTTCGCATTCGTATTTGTGGTTGAGTTGTACACATGGGTTCACAGGCGGCAGTACCAGTGCTGATGCTGGATTATGTCATCTTTGTTTGCGATAGGCAAGAAATGAGAACAACAAGAAAGAACAACAGCTGATTCTCTTCTCCTTCACCTCCCAAAGACGCCTGGCGGTATGGTACCACTCGAGGAAACCCCTACAACTCAGAAGTGCGTGCAGCTCATTCGGGGTCGGGCTCATGGCCCAGCTGCGTGATTCTATTCTCTAGGTTCATCCCTAAACCCTAAACCCTAAACCCTAAACCCCAAATCTTAAACACCAAGCCCCGAAAACCAAACAAGCGCGAACCCCACGCCGTCAAAGGCAACCCAAGAAGCTTCGAAAGTCAAAGACCACCCCAAAACCCCACAAAAGCCTTGGTCAAACCCGCTAAAACCCTAACCAAGAAG